AGCGGGCGCGGGCAGGGGCGCGGCGCGGCGCTTACTGTCCAGATAGTGCTCCAAGTACATGGCGGTCGCCATCTTCGCCGGCCGCGCTCGGGGTCTGCGCGCGGGCGGTGCCGCGGAGGGCGGGGCGGGGGCGGGGCTCACTATTCATGAGTCGCAGGTGCCGATTGGCCCGCAGCAGGGGCGGGGCGAGACCGGCCCGCCCCTCCACTTCCGGTGTGCAGTGGAAGGGGAGCAGCGCGCCCCTGGGGACCGCTCGGCCTCGGGCAACTGTCCAGTCCTGGTGCTGCGAGTGTGTGCTCGGCCCACGCCCCGGCCCCAGCACCCGAGCCTGGTGGGCCAGGGTGCGCCGCAGGCTCATCCGTAGACCCCACACAGCCGCGAGGCCCCTCCCTGCGCCTGTGCGCTCCCTGACTCCACTTTGCCGCAGTCTCGCCGCGAGGCGGCGCCCGCGCCTCGCTCTCTGCAGGTGCCTCTGCAGTTCCGTGCCGCGGCTGCACACAAGTGCGCGCTGAAACGTCTGCAGACCCACTGGGGAGCGGCGTCCAGGCGCGGGGGTGAGAGCGCTCCCCCTCCCTCCCAGAACCTCTGCGCGGTCATCGCGGCCAGGACTCATAGCCCCGTCCTTTCGCCCAGTGGGCCTGTGCTGGAACTGAGGCGTGGTCACGGGCGGGGTGCTGGGTCCCGGCTTCCAGCCCTGCCTCTGCCCGGTGACCGCGTGTACGTCGGAGTACAGGATACCCTGGGAGGACCTGCTACCCCTGGATGGAAGGAGCTAGGGCAGCAGAGCCCACACGCCAACCACATCGGGTGCGGTTGTACAGGTTAGCATACTCTCTCCAAAAAGCAGGACTTCCATGATTTAAAATGCATTTTTTTTTTCGGATGTCCAGCACCACAAGAAAAAAAGTACATTCTGAGCCGGGCTCGGTGGCGCAGCCCTGTAATCCCAGCACTCCGGAGGCTGAGGTAGGATTGTTGCGAGTTCCAGACCAGCCTGGGCTACAAAGTGAGGTCAAGGCCAGCCTGAACTGCATAGCGAGACCCTGTCTCAAAAAGACAAAAAAAAAAAAAAAGTGCATTTTTAAAGGGCCTGGCACTGTTGGTTTAGGGTTAGGGGCCCTGGATTTGATTCTCAACCAAAAATAAAATGCACTTTATTATCCCTGGCATTGGCCCCTCTCCCAAAACCTCAGTCAAATACTGAAAGCTATAAATATTTGTTTTTCATTTGTTCGTTGCAGTACCAGAAATGGAACTCAGGGCCTTTGCACCGAGCTACTTCCCCA